ATCTGTTGGTTGTGGGAACGCGTTGTCCTGTCTGTTGCATGCTGATTCTAGTGTCTGTCGTGCATGTAGTCCTACAGACTAGCTCTTAACACCTAATGTTTAGGTATGTTCAGAACTTTTCCTGGCACACTGTCTTCATTGAAACAGGATTGATCTCCTTGTTCGATGGTAATAGTAGAGGGGGATATGAGAATGCAAATTGTGTTTCTGTGGCTGATGATGGCCCAAAATGCCTCAAGAATGCCTAGGTTTGAATTAACAGATCTACTCGAAATCTGTCCCATTTAGTATGGTGGTAGTGGTACACAAAATGATGAAGGGGATCCTCAATGAGAAGGTGGGACATTATCCCCATTAGGACAGTGTGATGGTAACTCCTATCTTGATTGATTGATTGATTTATTATCATGTGTACTGAAATACAGTGAAATGTCTTGTTTTCAGTACAGGCAGATCACAGCAAGCAAAGGATGTACAGATCAAAAAAACTTAAGAGACATACAGGTTCCATTGCAGGTTACATTATTTGAGGCTAGAATCCATTCAGCAGTCTGATAACGGTCAGAAAGAAGCTCTTGCTAAAACTACTTGAGGGTGTGTTCAGGTTTCTGTACCTTCTGCCTGACAGAAGAGGTTGTAGGAGGTCATTATCCGGGTGCGATGGATCTTTGATGATGTTGGCAGCCTTTCTGTGGCAGCAAACCGTGTAAATAGAGTCCATGGATGGAAGGTTGGTTTCTGTGATGGTTTGGGCTGTGCACACCAGCTTCTGTAGTTTCTTACGGTCCTGGGCAGTGCAGTTGCCATACCAGGCCATTATGCACCTGGACAGTATGCTTTCAATGGTGCATCTGTAGAAGTTGAAGAGGCATGGACATACCAAATTTTCTGAGCTGCCTGAGGAAGAAGAGGCATTGTTCTGCCTTCTTGACTGTTGCATTTAGATGGCAAGTCGAGGATAGGTCGTTGGTTATTGTCACTCCAAGGAACTTAATGCTCTTCACTCTCTCAATCTCCATTCCGTTGATGTAGGTGGGGGCATGATCTCCTACTTTCTTTCTCTGAAGTCATGAGCAGTTCTTTAGTTTTGCCAACATTGAGAGACAGATTGTTTTCATTGTACCACGTCACCAAGTCTTCTATCTCTCTTCTGTATTTTGACTCGTCATGGATCATTGTGGACAGTTGAATCTCACCAGGTGGAGTGGTGTGGACAAGGTCAAGTAGATATTTTCCTCTTGTTGGGTTCCTCACAACTTGCCATTGACTCAGACTAGCACCTATGTCCTTTAGGACTCAGCCAGCTCAGTCAGTAGTGGAACTGCCAAGCCACTCTTGTTGATGGAAATTGAAGGCCCCCACCCAGTGTACATTCTGTGCCCTTGCCACCCTCAGTACTTCCTCCAAGTGTTGTTCAACATGGAAGAGTGCCGATTCATTAACTGGGAGTGAATGTGAATGGCAATTGGAGGATGTTTCCTTGCCCATGTTTGACTTGATCCCATGACCTTTCATTGGGCCCAGAATAAAGGTTGAAGACTCCCAGGGCCAGCCTTTCCTCACTGCATACCTTTCGTGAGTTTGTTCTTTGTCAGTGGGACAGGATATCTGCTGGGATGGTTATGGTGTGTATGTGACGTTCTCTGTAAGGTATGATTCTGAGAGCATGGCTATGTTTGACTTGTCTGGAGGATAGCTCTCCCAATTTTGGCACATGCCACCAAATGTTTTTGCTTTGCAGGGTTGACAAGGGGTGTTTGCAATTGTTTCTGATGCCTAGGTCAATGCCAGGTAGTTTGTCCGGTTTAATTCCTTTTGTTCAACAATAACTGGAACAAACACCTTAACACTTTATTCCTTACAATGCTATGCAGGGAATCATCTGTCTATTATTCTCACTCATGTATTTCATGTCAATTATGAATTTAACTGTAACTTTCAAGTGGATGCTACATACTGGGATAACAAATTACGGAATTGCATAGCCTTAGGAACTGCTGTACATTTTATGATAACCCAAAAATAACTGTCCTAATTTGTTTGAACCATCTGAAGTTTAGAAAACTTAAAAAATATTTACTTTCCACAAGGCAGCAATCAATGCCAGAAGTACAAGTAGTCCTCCGATCACACTCCCCACAATCACTCCTGTAGGAACTTCTTCCTTCATTGGTCTTGATATTTCAACTGGCATCTAAAAGTCATATTTAAAAAAAAGTTACATATTTATTCTGTTCAAAAGTTTAACAAACTTATTAACTTGGTTTAAATACAATTGATCAGTTTCCTTTGTTGAAGGGTGAAGTGGATCAGATTGGTGCTAACAACATGAGATTCGATCCCTTTTCTAGCCGGATCTGTCTCCTGGGCCTACACATAATAGACCTTATAGTGCTGAGGGTGGCATCAGCCTTTATGCAGAGAACTGAAGAAGTACTAACTGGGAAGAATGAGGTTTAGCTGCATTGGGGTAGCCCAGAGTTTTAGTATCGCCTAGGAATGGTCTTAAGCTTTGGTGCCATTAAAGTGTAAACCTGAGCCAAACTGGAGTTAGGTGCACAAAATTTCCCAGTGGGCCTGTTGGCATTCAACAAACTGGGTGAATTGTTTGGTCTAGGACTGCTATAAAAAGAGAGAACCCCTATTTGCTAGAAATGTGGAGAGGATGCCTGAGATTTGGAAGAATTATGGTAGACTGTAGGGTGTAGCTGCTGGTAGATTTTTTTGTGCTTTTCAGTTGAAAGTGAAAAGGGATGGCGTGGAACTGTCTCAATTTGAAACCATTTGGGGATTCCTGATGGACACAGGGCAGGACTTATTTGCAAATTTGTAAGAAATCTCTGCAAACATTTGTTACTTTGAGATTGTTTCTTTGACGTACATTCTGTACAGCACAGGAATGGGCCATTCGGTCCACAAAGTCCCAGTCTGTCCCTTGCTTTGTTTCTCCTATCTGGTAGATCTCAGAAATTGGGGTGATTATATATTCAATTAACAAAAGTTTGAACGTTGTGTAGGTATTCCATTCTATGATTCTATGTATTTTCAAATTTCAGCTTTTTAAAATCATAGAACTAAAATCAGGATGAGGAAATCCTGTCTCTCTGTGTTTCTCTCACAGTCTATCGAATTGATGTTAATAATTTGAACACTTCCATTTTCTAACTACCAACAAATCACAGGTGATAATTAGTGTTTGTTTTCAAAATTCAACTAACTTATTTTTTAAAGACCTCAAATTTTGATGCAAGATGTAGTGAAAATCACCAAATTGCTTACCTTCTGCAATAAGCAATCAATGTCAGTGGAATCCTTCTTAAACCTGCAGATTGAGGTCTAAATGCCATTGATACTCTATTGCAAAGTAAATTCAGGCCTGAGCAGATTTGGCAGAATAACTCCCTGCCAGCCTGAATCAGGTCAGCACCTCCACCAGCCATGGTCAAGATAAATATTTTCCTACATGCTCTCTGTTCTGAGGAAGAGTCACTGAACGTGAAATGTTAACTCTGTTTTCTGCTCACAAATGCTGCCGGACCTACTGAGTTTTCCCAGCAATTTCTGTTTTTGTTTCAGATCTCCATCATCCGCAGTTCTTTCTTTTATTATTATTTATTATTCAAGGCCTCACTGGTGAAGTGTGGCATTCTCACAGACACCTGGGAGTTACTAGCCCAAGACCATCCAAAGTGGAGGAGGAGCATCTGGGAAGGCATTGAGCACCTCAAGATTTGCTGCTGGGAAAAATGGAAGCTAGGCAAAAACAGCGAAAGGAGTAAACTGCCACATCAACGCCCCCACCCGCCACTTTCTGTGACTACCACCAACCCCAAGTGTAACAGAGCCTGCAGCAGTCAGTCTGTACCACCTACGGACTCACCCTGACAGTGAAAGAGAGTCATCCTCATTTGCGAGGGATGGCCAATGAATGAAAATTCCATTTTTAACAAAACAACAGAAGGCCATAAAAGAATGTGAGCGTCTGATAAAAATATATTACTTAACAATTTATAATATCATTAAATGGCTCAAACAAAAACATGCACGAACAAACCCAAATTCATTGCTGACACAATTGGAACTCCTACATCTGGTATCTATGGCAGCAGACATTCTTAATTATAATTAATGTGGGAGAGGCAAACTTAGGTCTAATTGCTACAGCCAACACTTTGCTTCCTCCAAGCAGAAAGTAGCTCCTTCCAGAATCTACATCTTAAACATAAAATTGTCAATGGAAGAGGTAAAAGCCATTTTGGGCAATTGAAGATCAGAGCTTTAGAATAATATGTGTTACGTTATTGTGTCCAAATAACTCCTTGTTTGCACCTTTGTTAATATAAACCTTGATCTTTCTCATAATGTGTTATAAATTTACTTACCTTATGTTTGGGGTTTTTTGGTCGTACATTCTTGGCATACTGCACTTAGTCAGTGCAGGGTTGGTTGGCCAAAGGGCCTGTTTCTGTGCTCTATTGTTCTTTGATATGACATCCTGGGCTTACCTTCTTTGTACCATTTAACATTGCACATATTTTTATGTTTTGGCACTTCAGGAACTTCCTTCTTTGTATACAGAAAAAGTAAGGTTTATACCCTTTATACTTGGAACAATTTTATTGTTTTTCTCTGTATTCTATTCTGTTGAAATGGTAAAAACATACAAGAGGACCACCCACCCCCCAACAACCCTGCCCAGCCTGGCAATCTACTTCTGAAAGTAACCCTTCGTTGTAAGAATCATCATACGCCAAGTTATTTAAATCTGTGCTGGCTTTTGAAATTCTGCCAAAAGCTTCCAGATAGTTTAATTTTGTGTGTTTACTTCATTTTTTCAGCTCACACTATAGAGAAGTACAAAGTAAAATAAAAAGACCCAAAAGTATCAGTCTTTGCCTGTCAATTTCCAGCCTCTCCATCAGCAAAACTTTAGTTGTGCTTCCACATGACAACACATAGAAAGAGGATCCCGAGTGGCTCAAAGCAAAAGCTTCAGAGAACTCATTGCTTTGTGAGTATCTCCAGGAGATTTGAAGGGAGTAAAACACTAACAAAACTATCTGGAGTTGGAACGAAAGGGAAACAGGATCCAAGAAGTGCTGGAAGATTTGAGGTTGACATCATTGTGATGGAATCTGTCTTTGAAGCCAAGTTATCTGCTCCCATCAATTTCAAGAACAATTTGAGTAAGAAGAACGTAGATGTACTAATAGCCATTCAAAGTTAAGTCCCACAGATTGCTAGGTGGTGCAGCGATGTCTACTGGTTATAATTTTGCAGGAACGTTCAGATGACATTTGACACTGAGAACGCTGGGGGAAGATGACGGAGTTAAAAAGACAACTGGTTGGGCCTAGGACGCCACCCTAACAAACTCCTGAAGTCATTTCCTGGGATGATGATAGCTGAACACACTGAACCATCTTCTCTTAGGCTAAAAATGACTCCTGCAATGGAAAGTTTTCCCCTGATTTCTATTGACTCCAGTTTTGCTATTGCTCCTAGATGCAACACTTTATCAGTTGCAGCCTTGACGTCATGCACAATTGTTGGAACATAGAACACCCACCATATTTGTGCCAACTATACAGCTATTCTCAACTAATCCCATCTGCCTGCACATGGCTGGTATCCCTTTATTCTCTACCTGTTCACGTATCTGTCTAAATGCCTCTTCAAATGTTGCTATTATATCTCGTTCTACCGCCCCCCCGGCAGTGCATTCCAGGCACCTACCACCCACTGTGTAAAAGCAAAACTTTCCTCACACATCTCTTTTAAGGCTTCCCCCTCTCATCTTAAACCTGTGTTACCTAATTTTTGATATTTCCACCCTGGAAAAAAAAGAGTCCAACTATCCATCCTATCCATGTCTCTCATAATTTTATATGTTTTTATGAGGTTGTCCCTCAGCCTCTGATGTTCTAGCGAAAGCAATCCAAATTTGTCCAACTTCTCCTTGTAGCTAATACACTCCAATCCAGGCAACATCCTGGTAAACCTCTTCTGCACCCTCTCCAAACATCCTTCCTGTAGTGTGGCGACTGGAACTGCTTGCAATGTTCCAAATGTGGCAGAACTAAAGTCTTAGACAGTTTCAACATGACTTGCCAACTTTTACTTTCAATGTCCTGACTGATAAAGGCCATATGTCTTTTTTAACTACCTTATCCACTTGTGTTGCCACTTTCAGGGAGCTATAGACCTGGGCCACAAGATCCCTCTGTATATCAATGCTCCTAAAGGTCCAGCTATTTACTGTATACTTTCCTCTTGCATTTGATCTCCCAAAATGCTTCACCTCACACTTGTCCAGATTAAACTCCATTTGCCATTTCTCCTACTTTCCAGCTGATATGTATCCTGTTGCATCCTTTGATATCCTTCCTCACTATCTACAACTCCATCAATTTTCGTGTCATTTGCAAACTTGCTAATCAGATGACTGACATTTCATCCAAATCATTTATATATATAACCATATATATAAATTACAGAACTGAGGAAGGGTCACCAGACCTGAAATGTTAACTCTGATTTTTTTCTCCACAGATGCTTCCAGACCTACCGAGCTTTTCCAGCAACTTCTGGTTTTGTTACTGTCTGTCTTCTATGGCCAAGCCAATTATGAATCCGATTTGCCAACTCGCCATGGATTCCATGCGATTTGATCTTCTGGACCAGTTTACCCTGAGAGACCTTTTCAAATGCTTTAGTAATGTCCATGTAGACAACATCCACTGTCCTACCCTCAATCATCTTTGTCACTTCCTCAAAAATACTCAAATTTTGGAGATAAGACTTCCTCCACACAAAGCCATGCTGACTATCCCTAATAAGTCCATTCTTTTTCAAATATGAGTAGATCCTGTCCCTAATAATCTTCTCCAATAATTTCGCTACCATTGATGTAAGGCTCATTGGCCTATAATTTGCTGAATTGTCTCTTGCCCTTCTTGAACAAAGGAACAACATTGGCTGTTCTCTAGTCTTCTGGGACCTCGTCTGTGGCTACAGAGGATACAAAGATCTCTGTCAACACCCCAACAATCTCCTCCCTCACCTCCCTCAGTATCCTGAGGATAGATCCCATCATGCACTGGGGTCTTCTCCACCTTAATGTTTTTAAGATAACCTACGTCATCTCCTCCTTAATATCAACATGCTCCACAGTATCAAAAAACCCCTCTCTAGACTTACTGTCATCCATGTCCTTCTTGATGCAAAGTACTTAAATATATCATTCACTTCTTTTTATCTTTTTAACTAAACTTGCAACATCTCTTATCATCTAAGGTTCCTGAAACTTGCCATCATTATCTTTCATCCAAACAGGAGCATTCTGGCACTGAAGTCTGATCAACAGACTTTTAGACATGTCAAATGTGGATTTACCTTCATTTAATTGCCAATAATTCAATTTTTCCACTTCTTGCCTAATACTGTTGTAATTAGTTCTCTCGATTTAGCACTTTCACCAAAAGACCAGTCTTATCCTGTTACATAATTATATTTCCATAAGTTTTAAGATAATGACTATTCTCAAAATGCTCCCCCACTGAAACTTCAATAACCTGGCCAGGCTCACTCCCCAATACAAGATCTAATGCAGCCTCTTCCCTAATTGGACTATCTCATTGGGGCGGCACAGTGACTCAGTATGGGGTACCATGGTAGCTCAGTGGTTAGCACTGTTGCCTCATAGCACCAGGGACCTGAGATAACAAGGTGTATAGCTGGATGAACACAGCAGGCCAAGCAACATCATAGGAGCAGGAAGGCTGATGTTTCGGGCCTAGACCCTTCATCAGAAAGATTCCAGCCTCGGGTAACTGTTTGGAGTTTGCACGTTCTCCCTGTGTCTGTGTGGGTTTCTGCCAGCTGTTCCAGTTTCTGCCCACAGTCCAAAAATGTGCAGGTTAATTGGATTGACCAGGCTAAATTTTCCTTAGTGTCCGGGGATGTGTAAATTAGGTGGGTTAGCTATGGCAAATGCAGGGTTACGGGATAGGGTGGGGGCTAGGTATTGGTGCGTTCCTTTTTGGAGGATTGGTTGGACTCAATGGCTCGATTGGCTTTGTTCTGCACTGTAGGGATTCTATTTACATATTGCTTCAAGAATTCCTCCTGGATGTACCTTACAAATTCTGCCCTGGCACTAAGGGAGCCTCAGTGATTACCGGAGAAAGTAAAATCACCCCGTAGAACAACCCTGTAGTTTTTACATCTTTCCATGAACTGCTGACATATCTGTTCCTCTAACACCCGCTATTAGGAGCTGATAATATGACCTCAGCAGTGATTGCACTTTTCTTATTCCTGAGTTCTATCCATATGGCTTTGCTTTTGCTTTTATTCATTTGTGGGACATGGGTATTGCTGGCTGGCCAGCATTTTTGCCCATCCCTAGCTGCCCTTGAGAAAGTGGTGGTGAGCTATCTTCTTGAACTGCTGCAGTTCACCTGCTGTGGGTTGACCCACAATGCCATTAGGAAGGGAATTCCAGGATTTTGACCCAGCGACAGTGAAGGAATGGCAATATATTTCCAAGTCAGGATGGTGAGTGACTTGGAACAAAGAACAAAGAACAATACAGCACTAAAATAGGCCCTTCAGCCCTCCAAACCCATGCTGCCACATTTTGTCCTTCCATACTAATACTAACTGAAGCGAAACTTGAAGGTGGTGGTATTCCCATATATCTGCTGCACTTGTCCTTCTAGATGGAAGTGGTTGTGAGTTTGGAAGGTGCTGTCTGAGGATCTTTGGTGAATTTCTGAAGTGCATCTTGTGGATAGCACACACTGCTGCTACTGTGTGTTGGTGGTGGAGGGAGTGAATGCTTGTGGATGTAGTGCCAATCAATCTGTCTGCTTTGTCCTAGATGGTGTCAAGCTTCTTGAATGTTGTTGGGGCTGCACTCATCCAGGCAAGTGGGGAGTATTCCATCACATTCCTGACTTATAGATGGTGGACAGGCTTTAATGATTCAGGAGGTGAGTTATTTGATGCAGTATTCCTATCTTCTGACCTGCTCTTTCAGCCACTGTGTTTGTGTAGTGAGTCCAGAGAATTTGCCCCTTGATACCCATTGATACCAGTTTTGCGAGGGCTCTTTGATGCCAGTTGGTCGAATACAGCTGGATGAGCACTCCAAGATGTCCTCTCTTGGTGGCACAGTCTCCTTAACCAGTAATGCAAATACCCCACCCCTTTTACATCCATCTCTATCACACCTGAACCATCTAAACCCCGGAATGTTGTGCTGCCAGTCCTACCCTTCACTCAGTCAAGTTTGAGTAAAAGCTACCACATCATACGTCCATGAACTAATCCAGGCTTGAAGCTCATCTGCCTTATCTGTTATACTCCTTGCATTAAAATGAATACACTTCAGACTGCAAGTCTTGTCATGCTCATTAATCTTGCCCTGCCTGTACTTTCTATGAGATTTATTTGATTTAGCCCCTCTCTTCTCTTCAAATACTTCACATACTATCCTACTGCTTTTGATTCCACCTCTCTACCACACTCATTTAAATCCTTCCTCGTGGCACTAGCAAACATCCCTGCAGGAATATTGGTGCTCCTCCAGTTTTGGTGCAACCCATCCTTCTTGTCCATGTCCCTCCTGGGCTGGAAAAGCCAACCATGACCATTTCAAGGGGATGTGGCTTTACAGCATTGTGCCATATCAATGTCACACTATCAACATGTGCCAGTGGCTTAAGTGGCCAAAACACTGAATACAGCTTCAACCAAATGGTCATGTCTCAAAGTCTCAGGAGAGTGGTCCTCAGTCATGCCAAGAGAAGTTGTTACAAAAACAGAATGGTTGGAGAAACTCAGCAGGTCCGGCAGCATTTATAGAGAGAAAAACAAGGTTAATGTTTCAAAGATAGTAGGAACTGCAGATGCTGGAGAATCCGAGACAACAAGGTGCAGGGCTGGATGAACACAGAAGGTCAAGCAGCATCATAGGAGCAGAGAGGCTGACGTTT